TTAAATATTTTTTTGGTTCCATACCCTTTATTTTCCATGTCTTAAAAACAACAACCAGCACCACCAGGGTCTCACTCTGTAGCTCTGGCTGGTCTCAAACTTACAGTGATCGTCCTGCCTCAGTCTCCCAAGTACTCAGAATCACAGGGTTTGTTCTTCTAGGACTTTTAAAAAAGGTTTTTATCCATTTTTTGTAGTTTGTTCTTTCATCAGAACTTTAACAAGTTTCAACATAGTTATCTGGAAGTCTCTACTGGGGATAAATTGATCACAAAAATGGCTGTAGTAATTCTCTCTCTTAGCCATGGATATGGAGGCAGATGCTAATCTTTGCCATGTGATGGCTAGCTTCATGTCAACTTAACACAAGCTAGAGACACATCTGGGAAGAAGGACTCTTAACTGAGAAAATGTCTCCATATGATTGGCATCTAGACAAAGCTGTGGTTCATAATTGATGTAGGTGGACCCAGTTCACTGGGTGAGGTTCCATTTCTGGGCTGGTAGTCCTGGGTGCCAAGAAAGCAGGGTAAACAAGCCATGGGGAGCAGTCAGTGAGCAGCACTCCTCCATGGCCTATGCATCAGCTCCTAACTGCAGATTCTTGTCCTGACTTCCTTCAATGCTAGACTGTGATGTAAATGAAATAAACTCTTCCCTCCTCAAGCTGCTTTTAGTCATGGTGTTTTATTACAGCATTAGCAACCCTAAGATAGGCACAACAGTATAGACAATGTGCCCACTCTATCTGCTCTTGGGAATTCCCTAGCTGCTATATCATAAACAGGTGCACATACCACAAGACTGTAAGTCGGGTTAGTCTGACTTCCAGTGACAACTAGCCAAACACAGGCAAGCCAAAGAAGTCATACCAGGCTACCCAGCCCCACCTGAGCTGGCCCAGGCCAGAGGAGTCTTCTCTAATGTTACCACTTGCTGATCCACAAAAATGTGTAAAACATTAATCACTGATTGATTATAATCAATAAAGTTTAATGATACTCTGCTATATGTCAAAAATGAAAAAATACAAATTATTAGAAATTGCTATAATACAATTCCACTGTTCATCACAAAGAAGAGCTGATAGTTGCTATGCTGAATTTTCTTATTTGTTATTTTGGGATTTCATGAAACTCTTTATGGAATTCTGTATAGCCTGAGTTGAGGAGGAATCAATTCAGGAATACCTTTTATGAACATTTCACTATCTTGGAATTCCTGAATCAAGCTCAAGCCCATGTGAACTCAGACCCATTGCCACAAACTCAGAGATTAATTAGACTTTCATGGCTGTGGTTGTTTCTAACCAAGAGCTAACAGAAGGAACAAGGCTACCTGGAATATTTTGTTACTCCACGCTTTCACTGGCAATACAGCCTTTTCTGAGTCCCTGAGTTATCCACCTTCGGCTTATGAATAAGAAAAGGATGTCCGCCCCTAGAGTCCACATTTCTGCTGTGTGGAAGTGAGGGTCTCCAAACCTCTACTCTCATACTTACCAATGCTGCTTCAACATTAAGATGAGTTTATTTAGAAAATTAGAATTACAAAGTAATGATTCCTGAGTTTACAAAAGAACACTTCATTCATTATTGTCCCCGAATTCATGAGACAGCATGCAATGACTAGTTAATGACAGTTAATAATAGTTTTGAGCAATTTGGTCCTTACTTTATCCAGGTCATAAGTTCCACTGTATCTGGATCATAGAATTCCTGTAGCTCTGTTAATTCTGTAATTAATCGTGGAAAAAACTAAAACACAAAACAAAACACCCAGAGGTGTAAGTAACTGGAAAGCTTAAAACTGTTTCAGAGTATTCCAAAAGACCAACTTGAAGCATGTTGACAAGCCAACACTGCCATGTTCCTGTCCTCTTCACTGACCTGGTCATTCTTTTCAACAGGAATAATTATAATTTTACAGTTTACTCACTGCTTAGATTTAGTAACTAATGTTATCACTACACAATCATTGGTTATATGGTTTATATATACACATATTAAATTTTAAAATTCAAGGACAAATATTTTGAAGTTGATTGGCAATTAGTTTCCTGCTATATTATGTTAAGCCAAAAAATTATTTCATTTTACAGATATTAAAATTGGAGTTACCAAAATATATTTAAATATTAAGACCTACTTATTATTCTAATTTTGTCAATTATGGTAAGAATTTACAATGGCATTAGACTGAAGAAAACTTCATTAGATGGAATTCTAAAAATGTTTTAGGCTGGATGAGATAGGGTACTTGTATAATCCCAGCACTGGAGATGCTGAGTCAAAAGGATAACCGTAAATTCAAGGCCAGCCTGGGCTACATAGTGAGACCTTGTCTCAAAAGATAACAAGCAAATGAGAACTCATATACATAAAATACATAAATAAGTACATTTTAAAAATGTTTGGGGAGCAAAAGTAGGTGGTACATGTCTTTAACCCCAGCACCCAGGAGGCAGAGACAAGCAGATCTCTATGAGTTGGAGGCCAGGCTGGTTTACATAGTGAACAGCCAAAGAAAAAGAAAGAAAGCAAAGAGAGAGAGAGAGAGAGAGAGAGAGAAAGAGAGAGAGAGAGAGAGAGAGAGAGAGAGAGAGAGAGGGAGGGAGGGAGGGAGGGAGAGAGAGAGAGAGAGAGGCAGATTGATTGTTTAGATTGATTGTTTTGGCTATCTTATTAGGAAGCAACAGCAACATTAAGCAACATTAAGGACATCAGCTTTTTTAGTGTGGTGTCTTGACAGAAGCTTCCTATACACATACATAAATTTATAACTTATAGATAAGTACATTTTCATAATATAAAATGTCTTACCTCTTTCCACAAACTAAGACCTATAATAGTAGGCACAGCCATGCTCAGAATAAGAGCCTAAAATAATAAGACAAAAAGAGTTATAGGTAAACACATTTTAGAATATATGCTAGAGGTATTAGCATTGACATAGACTGACATCAACATGCATCTAGTTCAAAGTGAAGTGTGAAGACTAATGTGTTTCAAACAAACTGAGGTGTTGGTAAAAATATTTGCTATGTAAGGAAAACCATCATGGGGAGGGAGGCATAGTGACACACACCTCTAATACCAGCACTTGTGAGGCAGAAGCACACAGATCCGAGTTGAAGGCCACTTGGTCTACAGACAGAGTTCAAGGCCAACCAGGGCTACACAGTGAGATTCCGTCTCAAACAAAACTAAACAAAATTAGTGCTAGGTGCTAGAGAGATGGCTCAACAGTTAAAGGGTATTTACTGTGTTCTTGAAGAGAAGCGGAGTCAGTTCCTAGCATCAGAATGGTGGCTCATAGCACACCATACATAACACTCTCCTAATGTCCACATGCTCATGTACACATGTGGTTCATGCCTTTAATCTCAGGCTCAGGAGCCAGAGGCAAGATAATCTCTGGAAGCTCAAGGACAATTTGGACTACATAGAGAGATTCTGTCTTTAAATAAATAAAAGAACTTTAAAAAGAAATTAAAGAAGTCAGTGCTTAGTTGATCTGAATTTATGGTTGCCTGTAACTGAGATAGTCAGGAGGGTTGAGGATGTGAGACCAGTGTGAATTACATAAAGTGATTCTATCTCATGGAATGAACTAGGAAACATTACTTCCATAGAGGTATTTCAAATAGCAAACAACATGTAAGAGTTTTTAAGAGACTTATTCTAGTTTCAGTATGAGTGTGTACCTCTGTAACAATGTGCATGTTAAGTGCTGTGCCTAAGGCAGGTGGAAGGCATCATGTTCCCTGGAGATGGGCTGACAGTAAGGTGGTCGTCGGACGGACACCTGATAGGAGTGCTGACAGGCTGACGTGGGGCCTCTGCTCATGCTCCTGACTGCTGAGCCATTTCTCCAGCCCCAATAATATGTGAAACTTCTGTCAGGGTCCTATATTATAAGGGGCTTACAAGTAATTATGAATTGGCATGAAAAGTTAACAGCAAAAGGCACTGAAACCACACCCGCAAAATAGCTAGCATAGGTCACCATATTATGTTAAAATGAGAAAACAAATTCTGGAACTAAGACTGAAAATACTTATAAGAAGACCACTGTTAAACATAATTTATCATCTTTTGCCCAAACATGTTCTTCCTATTCTACTTGTGGTAGGGGTTTTGCTTGTTTTTTGTTGTTGTTTTTGTTTGTTTGTTTGTTGTTTCTTCTCTTTCAAAACCATTAAAAAGTATGAACATTGTCCTCTCTCCCTTCTGTCCAGATTCCTACATTTGGGAAAATAACAGGGGTTAGGACATCCAAACACAATGGTTAAACCTCATTCAGAGAAATCCACCCTCATTATGAAATTTCCCCTGCCAGGTAAAAAGTATTCTATAGCATTAGGTACTATTTCCCCCTTGTTGGGATCCAAATGGAATCCTCAGGAATATGAGTCAAGCATTCTACTGAGCCATACCCCAGTCTTCCACCCCCTCCCCAGCCTGCTCTTTTTTTTAGACAGTATCTTGCTGTGTAGCCAAGGCTGATCCCAAACTTGGAATTTTCCCATCTCAACTACTCCAGTTCTATCACACCTAATTCTAACATTTTATTTATCTTTATTTTAAGCAAGCAGCAGAACAATGTAAATTCTCTTCATATGGGAACATACATAGATCAAAGTAAAGCCAAGAAAGAAGATATTTAAAACCTGAAGTCCGTACTGTGTGTGTCTGTGATCACAGAAAGCTGAGACAGAAGGATCACTATGAGCCAGGAGTTTAAATCCAGCTTTAGTAACAACAATAAGACAACAATTGGAAATAAAGGCTACAATATTATCTTAAATATTTTAAAATAAACAAATAGTTCTTGTCATTCATAGGGCAGTTAGAAAAAAATTTGATGTTGAAAAGGAATTTTAAGTTAAATAGTATAACAGGAAGTCTTAATTCACTAATACAAGTAGTTAAGAATAACAGGTCAGCTAGCTTGCTAACCCAAGGCCGTCACAAAAGATGCAGAGTTGGTGAAACAAAGGTCAATTGAGTGCTCCATAGATCCACTGCCTGTGAGAGACAGGAAAGGTGCTCAAGGGCAAATTCCTCAAGAACGAGAACATTATTGAAACATTCATCTGTTCCTGTGATGTTTGACTTAGCCTTCTCTGGAAAAACTCCCACCCAAGGTCCCAGATGGTGTGTTAGCATTCGTACTGGGTCCCAAGGCCACAGGAACCAGGGATTATTCTCGTGAGATTAGTCCTTTCTCTGCCAGGGATCTGCTTACACACATTACAGATATTTGAAACAACCAATTGTGTGTGACTGTGCCACAACCCCCTTCTTGCCCCCCCTCCTTTGCCTTTATTAACCCTAAGCTTTTAGGCCTCAGGGTCGATTCCTCTACCTCTTTCATGAGGAACGTATCAGCCGAAGCTTCAATAATAAAGAACCTGACTCATGTGATTGCAGCAAGACGGTCTTTGGAGGTCTTTGGGTTCGAGTCCTTTCAGGGTCTCCCTTGGGGGAGTCATTCAATGTCACCTCATATTACTAATTCATTTCAATTTTTGCCTTTTCTTTTATAAGTTATATAGATCGAAATCCATTTGTTTAAACCGAATATTATATGCTGAGGGTGGTGCTCATGGCTGTAAGCTACCTTCTGAGAAGCTGACACAGGATGGCTATGGGTTTGAGGATTCCCTTATCTATGGAAAAAGACCCTGTCTCAAAAAAACAAAAGCAAAACAAAACGACCAAAACCCTAAAAGCTGGGTATGATGGTGCATGCCTATAAACCTAGAATTTGGAAGATTGGAAGATGGAAGATCAGGAGCTCAACTATATAATGAATTCTGGACTAACCCGGACTACATTCAACCCTGTTTCAAAAACAAATGCCAAATCAATAAAACAATAGGCAGGAACACAGCTGAGCTGTCAGAGACCCTCACTAGCACATAAGAAGCTCTGGGTCCGGGCTGGAGAGATGGCTCAGCGGATAAGAGCACTGACTGCTCTTCCAGAGGTCCTGAGTTCAATTCCCAGCAACCACATGGTGGCTCCCAACCATCTGTAACAGGATCTCATGCCCCCTTCTGGTGTGTTTGAAGAAAATGACAGTGTACTCATATAAATAAATAAAATAAATAAATCTTTAAAAAAAAAAAAAAAAAAAAAGAAGCTCTGGGTCCAGGCCCTAGCACTGCATATCCTGGCGTTGGGGAAATGTATATCTTCAAAAGACCAAGATAACCCTCACTACACAGTGAAATCCAGGCCAGCCTGGGACCCTGCTGAAACAAAAACAAGAAAAGAAAAATTTTAAAAACTGTTTATCTATCATAGTCTACTTTGCTACCCATAACTTGTTTTTATGTTGCTGTTGTTGTACTGTTTTTTTGTTTGTTTATCTGATTTGTTTTTCTTGTTTGAGACAAGGTTTCTCTGTATAGCCCTGGCTGTCTTGGAACTGCTCTGTAGACCAAACTGACCTCAAACTCATAAGATTCATCTGTCTCTGCTTTCTGAGTACTAGGGTTAAAGGTGTGAGTCACCACCATCCCTCTGCCCCAGTTTTCATTCACTAGTATTTAAATTTTTTGATGACATTTATTTAATTGTGTGTGTCTCTAAGTGTGTACACATGCAGCTGCACATGTAAGACAATTGATGGGAATCAGTTTTCTGCCTCCATCATGTGGGGCCCAGGGCTCGAACTCAAATCATCAAGCTTGGTGCTGGCATGGCAGGTGCCTTTCCCCCACTGAGCCATCTTCATGGCCCTAACATTTTATTTTGTATAACTGGAAGATAAACAAGTATCAAACACAAAATAACAATGACTTACCAACAATACTGGGTGTACAGTTCTTAATCGAAGCCACTTTAAAAGTGTCATCCAAAGTTCAGGGGAGCATACACCAAATGCTGCCAACATGCACACATAAGGAGTCCAAATGAATTTCAAGCTGGAAAAAAAGTCACATATCACACATCCTATTCCACATCATCTGATTTCTCTTTTCTAAGTACTTTTTAACTACCCACAAAATATTAATGAAGAATGAAAAATCTTTACTTCTAATTTTCAGCAACAGATTAGTACCCAATTTTTTGGTTTTGGTATTTTTTTTAAGATTTTTATTTGTTTGTTTTATGTATCTAAGTACACTGTCGCTGTCTTCAAACACACAAGAAGAGGGCATCAGATCCCATTACAGACGGTTGTGGGCCACTGTGTGGTTGCTGGGAATTGAACTCAGGACCTCTGGACAAGCAGTCAGTGTTCCTAATTGCTGAGCCATCTCTTCAGCCCATTGCTATTTGTTTTTAAGACAAGGGTTCATTGTGTAGAGCAGGCTAGCATCAAACTCACAGATCCATAAGTCTCTGCCTCCAAGTGCTGGCAATAAAGGTGTGCACCCCCACTCAAAGCCCTTTTCTTTCCTTTTCTTTTTTCTTTTCGAGACAAGGTGATCTCACTCAGTAGTCCAAGCTGTCTTGGAACTTACTGTGTAGAATAGGGTAACTACAGTGAGTCTCCTGCCTCAGTCTTCTGAGATTACAGGCATGAGCCACTATAGCTTTTCCTTTTGTCTTTGGGACAGGATCTCACCTGGTAGCCAAAATTGGCTTTAAACTCAAGGCAATCCTCCAGCTTCCACCCCTGAGTGCACAAGCTACCATACCCAACTTTCCTCTTTATTTTTTTTTTTTAATTTTATTTTTTAGGTAAGGTATTAAGTATCAAGGCTGGCACGGAATTTGCAATGCAGCTGAGCCAATGACTTTGAACTTCTGGCTCTACTGCTTCCACTTCTGCAGTGCTATGAGTCACCTTGCCCAGTTTTTAATCTGTTTCATGTAAACAGAAGGTGACCCTAGGGTATAGCTCAGTAGTAGAGTGTTTGTCTAGCATATATGAGGCCTTAATTCAACTCCCAACACCACAAGAAAAAAAAAAAAAGGATGGAGAGAGAGAGAAAAAAAGGGACAAAATGGAAAATGGTATGTTTGCTTTGAATTACAATTTAATAATAATAAATGAGCATGCAAAAAGCCTCCCAAGTTACCTTTCATCATATTTATTTTCATGCATTATAGGACCCAGAAGGGCTGCTATGCCCTGGCTGAGCCTTTCCGTATGCTGCTGTCTACTAAGTAACATGCTGCGGTTCCTCTAGGATCAAAACATCCTGACTAAGGCATGCTGCCCCAGGGAGGGAGTTTACACTTGACATCCTATTGCCCCCCAGTTGAGTTCCTGCTTTTTCACATCCTGACTAATACATGGTGCCCCAGGAAGGGAATTTACACTTGACATTGTATTGGCCCCCAGTTAAGCTCCTGTTTTTTCCTGAGTTTGTATTTTTCCTTCCCTGGCTTGGTGTATATATTGAACCTGCTCAATAAAGGCATTGGCATTCTCTCATAACGGATGACCTGAGTCTGAGTATTTCTTTAATCCCCCAGGCCTACGCCCAAGCTCAGTACCGAAGGCAGCGCCAGAGCTGTCAATGCATCTTACTTACTGTGAATAAATGTTTAATCTTGCACACAGAGGGATCTGGCCTCTGTCCCTACTCCCAGAAGGTAACCACCTGCCGAACAAGAGTATCTTTGTGGAGATGCAATGACTACGCTATGCCTACAACTTATGTTAAGAGCATGATTTATTCTGGGGCCCTGGGCCACAAAGTGTCAGTTCAACCTCTGAAAAGGTTTCAGAATAAGATCAGCCACACAAGTAGCCAACTTCATCTGTGACTGAGCACCAATAAAAACTGTGAACACAAAGAGGCTTCCCTGACAGCTATGTACACTGTGCACACCGGGTTTATACTGCTCCTCAGAAACAGGTACTGTCTGTGCCATCTCTACAGTATGACAGCAAGTAGTATCCCATGTCTACCTCTCTCCTAGACCCTATTCTGTGTATATCTTCATTAGCTCATTATATAGACCCTTTTTGCTGAAATAAGTGGTAACCCACAATACAATGACTTTTCTGGTTATGTCAATCCTAGTAATAGAACCCAAAAATGTTTTGGGAAACTTCTGAACTTGCAGTTGGTTTTTATAAGTAGGGATGGCCTTAAGGATTCCTGAACATTTACTATCTTAAACTGAAGAGGCATTCTATTTTATTTGCTAAAATTGACTAATATATAAAGATTTAAAACATTTGCTTGGGTAAGGAGTATAGACTGGAGTATATTGTTTGTCTAGCTTGTGCAAGGTCCTGGGTTAGGTCTCTAGCACTGCAAAAGGTGTGAGAGGTGGAGCCTCAGGGTGTCAGATTTTTGAGGCTTTCAAATTCAAGGTCAAACTTGAGACATTATTTCAAGACAAAACAAAACAGCAACAATACTCTTCTGATCAATGAAAGGATTTTCATAAACTTTAACAATTTGGCATGATTTTATGTAGAAGCAGACTAAGGGAGGTTTGAAAACTAAAAACTCACAAATAAAGATATGGTTTTTAGGGTTGTCATTGTTATTTCTGTTTTGTTATGGGAAAGAGGTCTCACTATGTAGCACTGGCTGGCCTAGAACTCAATATGTAGACTTTGAACTCACAGAGATCCATGTGCCTTTGCCTCCTATATAACTGTGATATAACTTATCTGAATATTAATAGCCGTATGCTACATGATGGTGTTTTGCTCAACAATAGACTGCATACATGACGGTAGTCCCACAAGATAACATTGCCTAGTGAGGTCGTGAAGGGGTTATCTGAGCAGGCACACCTGTGAAGCTCCTGCACCACAACCCTGCGTATCATACTGTACTGATGTGAAGTGACAACTGACTGCGCGTAGATACTTGCCTTAGCAAATTTTAAACATACTTAACATAAACAAACTTAACACAAAAACCAGGAAGAAATGAAATATAAACACTTTGCCTTGTCCATACACCAGAGTATCAACAGGCTAGTTTTCCATTTAAAAGCAATAAAATAAAATAGAGAAAAACCAAACCCACCTCCTTCAACCCAGCCCAGCTCCAGTCTACCTACTGTAAGACCTACTGCACATCACTGTACTTCTCCATATTTCCTTACCCTCCAGAATGCCCTACGTGCTTGCCTATTAAAAAACTTAAGCAATGTGAGCCCCTCTGCCTGGGATAACCTTCTCCCTTCTGTTAACAAGTTCAGTTTACTCAGCACTCAGCCCCTCAAACATCTTTTCAAACCATATCCTGACTTCAAATGTTCCCACAGCACCATTTACCCTTCATTCATTGCCAAATTATAACTTTAGATTTGTTACATAGTTAACATCTGTTGTCTCCATTAGGCCAACAGTTACAGAAAGTAGAAACCAAACCCTGTGTTCATGCTGCTTACCATTGTACTTCAAGTATTTAGCATGATACATGAATCTTAGAAGATATTCAATAGTATTTTAATAAATGAATAATTAAATATCAATTTGCTATATTTTAAAAATCTTTGTTAAATTTCACTTAATTTTAAAAATTTGTATTTTTATAAATTAGTGTATTTTTCATTTATTTTATGTATATGAATGTTTTGCTTGAGTATACGTACAGGCCAACAGAGAATATTGGATCCTTGGAAACTAGAGTTTTTCATATGGTTTTAGAGACCTGATTTATGTGGGTGCTGGGACGATCTTTTGCAAGAGCAGCAAGTACTCTTAAGCCATTTCTCTAGCCCCTAAAAAGTTTTTCTGTGTTTTTTTTCAAGAGAGAGTTCTTCTGTGTAGCCTTGGCTGTTCCAGAACTCACTATGTAGACCGGGCTAGCCTCAAAGATCCACCTACCTGCCCCTGCCTCCTAAGTAATGAAATTAAGAGTACCACCTGATGCCCTGAAAGCTTACACTTTCTTAAATAAAGTTTTAGGAACTGCTTTAAATGTACTCACTAGCTCAGTATAAAAGGTAAGCATGGAGCTGGAATGATGTTAAGAGCACTCACTGCTCTTCCAAAGGTCTTGAGTTCAATTCCCAGCACCCACATGGCAGCTCACACCTGTCTGATGCCGTCTTCTGGAGTGCAGATATACATGCATAGAAAGTACCTAGGGCTGGAGAGATGGCTCAGTGGTTAGGAGTAGTAACTGCTCTTCCAGAGGTCCTGAATTCAATTCCCAGCAACCACATGGTGGCTCACAACCATCTATAATGGGATCTGATGCCCTATTCTCATATGTCTGAAGACAGTGACAGTGTACTCACATACATAAAATAAATACATAAACCTTTGGGGCTGGAGAGATGGCTCAGCAGTTAAGACCACTGACTGCCCTTCCTGAGATCCTAAGTTCAATTCCCAGCAACCACATGGTGGCTCACAACCATCTGTAATGAGATCTGATGCTGTCTTCCAATATGTCTGAAGAAAGCAACAGTGTACTCACATATATTAAATAAATAAATAAATAAATAAATAAATAATAAAAAGAAAGTACCTAAATACATAAATAAATAAATTCTTTTAAAAAATTAGCTTAATAATGACAAACTGCTCAAGCAGGGCACTTACCCTTCCATAAGCATTGCAAGAGAGCCCAGCAAAAGAGTGTGAATTACATGATAAATTATTTCTGGCCTTTCTCCAATTCTTCCATCTTCAAGAGTTCCAGTTTCTTTCTTGGACTTACCACTATATAAAAAAAGAAAACATGTTTGCAATAGTTTGGAAAAATATAGATGAAAAATCAACAATACGTTATCAAGTTTGAAGGCTATACCCAAAACTGAATTTCTTCTCCTTTTCTAAGATCAGTTATTCCTGAACTAGCAATGCTAATCAATATAAACTACAAAATTAAATTATAAAGATAAAAGAGCTAGAAGTAATCATCTTCTTTTGGTTTGTTTGGACACAGAGTTTCAACACTAGGTCAGGCGGGCCTAGAACACATCTGTAGCTAAGCTTGCCTCTACTCCAGGCAGTCCTTTTGCTTGAGGCTATATAGAGTTGAGATTGCAGGTGTGAGCCACCATAGCTAGCTTCAAGTTACTTTTTTCTTTTATTGTAGTGCTGGGGGTCACCAAGCATAGGTCTTTATACATTGAATAAGTGCTGTATGTATTGTCAGTGGTAAAAGAGAACACACTGTATAAAGTAGGTCAACTGACTGGGAAGTGACTGCTAGTACTTCTCATATGGATTACTTTGGGATTTTGCAATGGAGTTTCATGTAATCTGACTAGCTTTGAACTTACTATGTAGCCAAGGCTGGCCTTGAACTCACAATCCTGAATTCACCTCTCAAGTGTTGGAATCACAGCATTCTACATCACCTCTCAAGTGTTGGCATCACAGCATTCTACAAGTATCTATAACTACCTTTCTAGCATAATGAACATTTAAAACAAGTATATTTATAGTGACTTTTACTTTGTTACTGTTTTTGTTTTCACTTTTCATTTTTTGAGACAGTGGCCTAAGTTGCCTTTGAACTCACAATTCTCTTAGCTCAGCCTCCTGAGTGTTTAGATTATAGGCATGTCCCATCATATTCAGAAAAAATCTAAGTAATTTCAAATCACACTTGTAGCTTCATTTCAATTAAATTACATATATGTTTATATATGTATATGTGTACATATATGCACAATGTGTATATATAAATCATTTGTGTGTGTGTGTGTGTGTGTGTGTGTGTAACCCAAACCACCTGAGAGATAGGGTTTATCAGTGTAGCCCTGGCTAACCTGGAACTTACTTTGTAGACCAGGTTGGCCTCAAAATCAGAGATAAGCCTGCCTCAGCCTCCTGAGTTCTCAGATTAAAGGCATATGCCACCATGCCCAGTCAAATATATTATTCTTAACTAAGTTAAAATTTTAGTAAATTATTAAATGAATCTGTAAAAGCTTAATCTATTACTTATATGTCTATGTAAATACTTAGAGGTATAAAGCTAAACATCTGCTTTTCTGATTAATTAATTTATAATGACCAATAAAGAAAGAATAGACTTAGATGCTCTAAAATAAACAGTATTGAAAAGCTGTGAGGTGGCACACACCTATAGTGTTAAATGATTTGGAGACTGAGCCAAGAGAACTGCTTAAAAATGTGAGTTCTAGGTCACGTGGGAGAGCACAACAAAACCTCTTGCTCTCCTTCCTGTCCCCCTTAGAGCTGAACCCAGGGCCTCGTACAGGCTAGTTAAGGGTTCTGCCACAGCACTACACCCAAATCCCAAACCCCGTCTCTTCAAAAAGAAAATAAAAATAAAAAATTTAAAAGAAAAGAAACACTGGATCTGGATACAACTTAGTGGCAAAGTATATTCAACATGTACAAGGCCCTGGGTTCTCAAACCCTAGCACCAGACCAACACACACACACACACACACACACACACACACACACACACAACTTAAAATATTTTATATCTTTAGGATACATTAACTAGTAATACAATTGATTATTATAAATACTTACCTCATCCTCCTAAAAATAACTTGTGTTATAGAAAGAAGACAAATAATTAACACTAAAACATAGAATGGCAATAGAGAAGATTGTGTCAATCGGAAAAAAAAATCCTGGGATGGTGCCTGGAGAGATTCTTGACAAAGGAGCCAGTTCAATGTAAAATTCCTACAAAAGACAAGACACAAGATATTAAAACATGTGCTTTGAACTGATGAACATAAAGGTATTTTAAAAATCTTGGTAAAAATGAAGATAAAACACATTCTCTAATCTACTCATTTGTAACAGCAAGGGTAGGCTGCAGTGAAGCACACGCCTTCGTCTAAACTGCTCACAAACGAAAACACTGTGGCTTCTTTTACTAGAATGTCAGTTAGTAAATCAAGAAATAAAGACCCTCAGAAAGGCTTGTGGCCGGAAAGCTGAGTCCCCACCAGCAGTGTTCTGGGGTAGAAGCTATAGGAACTGATTAGGTCATGAACTGGATGGATTCATAACTAACGGCAGTCCAGGGTTAGGTCACTGGATGAAAGCTGCTTTCAAGTATGTGCCTTGTTCCTTCCCCCCTCTCTCTTTGCTTCCTAACCTCTTTCATCATACACCCCATGGATCAGAGACAGTGGAATGAATGACCATGAACAGTCCTGACCTAGGACACTGAGAAAGTGAGACAGTCCGATGGACAGAGGCACTCACTGTCCAGCCTGAAACGCTGAGTTCAATGCCATGGTTCAAGAAGAAAACAAACTTTCAAATTTGACTTCTGACCTCCACATACATGCCATGGCATGCATGCATTCATTCTCTGTCATATTCTCTCTCTCTCTCTCCCTCTCCCTCTCCCTCCCTCTCCCTCTCCCTCTCCCTCTCCCTCTCTCTCTCCCTCTCTCTCCCTCTCTCTCTCTCTCTCTCCTTTAGAAATGCCTGAAAAATTAGAGCTGAAGACATGGCTCAGTGGTTAGGAACACTGTATTTGTACAGTATCCAGGTTCAAGTCCATGCTGGTTCACAACTAGCTCTAAGTCGAAGAGCAAAATTAAGCCTGCTGGTGCTTTAAGTTGTTGATACGAGCATTTTGTGGAGTGGCTGGACACTGAAAATGTGACTATCTGTAAAGTCCAACGCAAACATATTTTTCCAGTTGTTGAGCTGAGGGTTAAACCCAGGGGCTCATGCACAAGTCAAACCCTTCTATCACTAAGCCACATCCCCAGGTAAGAAGTAGAATGATGTGCATCAGTGCTCCTGGAACACTTGGAGATATGGCTCAGCAGTTAATAGCACTGACTGCTCTTCCAGAGGACCTGAGTTTGGTTCCCAGCACCCATATGTGAGCTCAGACTCTGCTTGACTCCAGTTCCTGGGGCTCTAATTCCTTTTCCTGACTTACTTGGGCCCCTGGATGTGTACATACATACACTCAGACTCACAACCATCTGTAGCTTCAGTTCCAGGGGATCCAGTGTCTTCTTCTGGCCTTCAAGGGCATTTACATATGTGGTGCACATCATATATGCAGGCAAGCACTTATACATATAAAATAACAAAATTTTAAAAGTGTTAAAGGATAGAACCAAAGCGTCTATTTCAAAAATGACTGCATTTTAAAAATAAGCTAAATTTTGACAATGTGCTAAATGGGACTATAGCACCATTAAAGATGATGCTACCGAAATATCTTCTATCTTTGTGCCTGGGAGACTATTACTGTTGTTGGTATTAATATTATTATTTTAAGGCAAAGCTTCATGTATTTCAAGGTATCATGAACACCGACTGCCTGTGTAGCTGAGGAAGACCTGAATGTCTAATCCTCCTGTTTCCACCTTACCAAGAACCAGGAACAGAGACATGTGATACTATGTTCAGTGTATGTGGTACTGGACATAAACCTAGGGCTGTCACACCTGCAGCACAAGATTGAAATGACTTCTTTTATTGCCCAAGTGCTTGACTCGTATCCTGTGCATCTTTTAACAGTTCTTTGATGGTTATTTTTATTGTTGTTGTTGCTTGTTGGTTTTGTTTTATTTTATTTTTGAGACAGAGTTTCTGTATGTAACCCTGACTGTACTGGAACTTGTAAACAAGGCTGACCTCAAACTCAGAGATTCATCTGACTCTGCCTCCCAAGGACTGGAATTAAAGATGTGCACCACCACTGCCCAGCTTCTTCTTTTTTTTTTTTTTGGTTTTTTTGAGACAGGGTTTCTCTGTATAGCCTGGGCTGTCCTGGAACTCACTCTGTAGCCCAGGCTAGCCTCGAACTCAGAAATCCACCTGCCTCTGCCTCCCAAGTGCTGGGATTAAAGGCGTGCGCCACCACTGCCCGGCTTCTTTTTAAACAAACAACATTCGTTATCTTTAAAAAAATATTTAAGTCTTCTCTATTATTATCTTATGTGTGTTTTTTCTGCATGTGTATACGTTTACCACATATGTGGCTGGTGCTGGAGGAAGCCAGAAGAGTATATCAGATCCACTGAAACTGGAATTACAGATAACTATGAGCCACCATGGGAGTGGGTACTAAGAACCAAACAAACCTGGATTTTCAACAAGAGCAGTAAGTGTTCTTAACTATTAAGCCATCTGTCTTTGGTGGTTCCTAGAAATCTGTCTCTAGAGAAATATGTCCTGAAATTCTGGTGAATTCCAAATCCCAACACTTATTTATCTATTTATTTAAGCATAAATATTCTCTATCTATAGCACCCATGTCATTGACTATTTAAAAAACAAATCAGGGCTAGGAATGTAGGTCAGTAGTACTGTACTTGCAGAGAATGTGTAAGGCCCTGGGTTCAATCTACAGCACTAGGGGAAACAAAACACGGGCAATCAGAGGGCAGTAGTTTTGAGAAAAAAAACTATGTCTTAACCTTAAAATACCTAGTGTATTACCCTGTAAAGCAAGTCTAATACCTGTCATGTGTACTACAAAATACTATAAATATCAACTAATAAACATTGGCTCAAAGCAGTTCTCAACCTTAGAAGACTGTAGGATAAGCTCTGGGTTAGGGACAAAGCCAATGGAAGAAAGACTTCCCTTATGAAGAGCTATCCCAACTTTTACTGTTTATGTTCTCATCCTATAAGAGTCTTTTTTTTTGTTTGTTTGTTTTTTTGTTTTTTTGAGACAGGGTTTCTCTGTGTAGCCCTGGCTGTCCTGGAACTCACTCTGTAGACCAGGCTGGCCTCGAACTCAGAAATCCGCCTGCCTCTGCCTCCCAAGTGCTGGGACTAAAGGCGTGCGCCACCACCGCCCAGCCTATAAGAGTCTTCTAATGGATGGTCTATCATAGCAAATGAATATATACATCAAACGCTTCATTTGCTAACTATGTTATGTCACAATAAGAAATTCAATTTACAGTCCTATATAATCACATAAGTGAGACAAAGGTTCCAAACTTTCTTAGAACTTGAGACATGTGTAAATAAATACCATCTGTTATACACATAGACAATATCAGTATACAAAGTCATTTCTTCCATGTTGTTTCATAAAATAAAACAACTAAAAACACATTATTTTATAATTAAAAACTTGGCCAGCTTCTGGTTTGTTATACCATAATACTAACATTATATTACTATAAACCTAATATGAAACTATTTTATGAAACAAATACCTTCCTGCCTGTCCTCTGCCCTTTTCTTTCCCTCCTGTTTGGCAATACTAGAGATCATTTGCAGGGTCTCGCACATTCAAGGCAAACGCTTGCTTACATTCTGAGCCTGCTACTATCCTTTTTAAAGGTATTCATAGTGCTAGTATAGCTGTTATTGGCTATTTTACTTATTTTTCTGCAGTGTTGGAGATCAAACCTACAGCTGTGTATATCCTAGCCCAACATCTACTCCTTAGCTACATGTAGTCCTCATTTTCAGTCTTTACTTATTTTAACTTTAGACTGTGACATTAATCTTCACCAAAGGACAAAGGCCTAAAAATACTATGAAAGAGCAGGAGAGGGCTGGAGAGATGGCTCAGCGGTTAAGAGCACTGGCTGCTCTTCCAGACGTCCTGAGTTCAATTCCCAGCAACCACATGGTGGCTCATAACAGTAATGGCATCTGATGCCCTCTTCTGGTGTGTCTGAAGACAGCGACAGTGTACTCATTTTTTAAAAAAAAGAAAAAAGAGCAGTACTCCAGGCTCTTGGAGAGGACCTACATTCATTTCTCAGCTCCCACATCAGATGGCTTACAACCACCTGTAATTCCAGTTCCAAGGAATCTGGTTCCTTCATTTCATCTGCACATACATTTCTCCACACACATACATATGCATATAAATAAAAAAAAATAGCCATAGAGTGGTGGCACACACTTCAATTGCAGCAGTCAGGAAGGAGGCAGAGGCAGGTTTCAGAGTTTGAGGCGAGCCTGATCTACAGAGTGAGTTTCAGGACAGCCAAGGCTACAGAGAAACCCTGTCTCGAAAACAAACAAACAAATAAATAAATAAGGATTAAACCTTTAAAACAATACCATGAGACTGGTGAGATGACTCACAAGTAAAAGCACTCTCTACAAAAAGCCTGATAACCTGAGTCTGATTCCTGGCATCCATGATGCGAGAACAGAACTAACTCCCCAAACTTGCCCTCTGATCTCTACACATGTGCTATAGCAAATACATGCTTACTTATACATACACAACATATCCACCTACAAGAATAAATAAACTAAATACTATAATGCTGTTAAAGATTTTATATCTACTTAGTAGATATTTAGTATTAAATAGTATTAAAGTATACTTAGTATACCTTTTAGTATTTAAGTATATCTAGGAGACTAGAAATGTATTTATTTATGCTGCTGCTCAAGGTATTCAAACCACGGTCCCAAGCACACTAACCATGTTTCTCCTGCAGTGCTGGTCAGAACTGGGGCTCTATGTATACTAGGCAAGCATTCTGCCAACTGAGCTATGGCCCTACTCTCCCTTCCCTATCCCACCACACCAAGTATCAATGTCATTTATTATAGTTCTGTGGTAGGAAACTGCCTATAGTTCACAAAGCCCTGAAGGCAATCCTCAATACCACAAAACCAAAACCAAAACTAATCTTCTACATAAAATCAAAAACTATTTTCTAAGTGACATGTAACCAGGTGCACACTCCCTCCATCCAGTGTTCTTGCTTTTTATTTTTTACAGCATACAGATCTGATGAACTTGTAAATGCAAAACTTACTTAGTCATATTTAGTCCAAATTTTACTTCAAGAAATTTCAGTACATGCTCATTTTCTTTGTGTGAGACAAACATCTAGAAGAGAGAGAATCAGGCACCATGGCCAAGCTGTGAGATATCATTCTTACAGAGAAGAAAACATTATTTTAACAAAGAAATACTCGCTTATGCCTATGCTTTTAACAGTAAACTTGTTTCCAATCACTAATGATAGAAAATACAGCCAGATTAAAAGAATAGTGAATTAAATAACACAGTGTGCAATATGAATACATTTACTGCATGCTTAGGCATAAAAATGGAATGGTGTTTTGAGAATATGAAAATTTCAACCTGTGACAGCTGATTCAAATAACCCTTGTTCCTGAAGATATTTTTGTTGGTTTATTTGGTCTTTGAAACACTGTAGTTAGAGATAACTTTGTATATACTCTAATCCTTTGTTAGCTCTTGTTCTCATTAAAGCTGGCATAATACATTCCTCTACTCACACTGATCTGGACATGAATCTCAAGTACTTACCTTCACTATAAGATTCAAGGTCACTGGCAGAGTACATAACAAGTAAAACTCAAACACTTTGATTACTTTAGCCACAAATGTTCCTTTTTTCCCATTCAGCTACAAAGGAAAAACCAAAATCACATAAACAAAGAAGTGAGGTATAAAATTAACAATTTAAAATAGTAAGGCTACTTTTTACAAAAGACAATGTTAATTACCTGAAGGCACTTAACAAGCATAAACGCTCCTACTAAACTTAATAAAGGAGACACCAATAAAGCTGGATTCTCAAACTGCAGTAAATACCCAAGGAAGAGAGAAAATATGTAGATTTTATATACTTCATAAACCTGTTAGAACAAAAAATAAAATGAGAATAAAATTAATTTTAAAAAATAGAAATTATAAGTAAATGTACTGCTATAATTTAGGACAGCGTTAGGAAGTGTTTAATCTGTATTTTTACTAAAATGGAATGGAATGAACTTAACATTTGCTTCTTAGCATTCTACAGAAAAAGCAAAGAGCTAAAAAAAAGTCATAAATGAAAACTGAATAACATTCTTTACAGACACACTTTAACTTCTGTTAGTTTTCTTGTTACAAATTCAGCTTTGTGTAGGTGTGGTACACACTGTCAGCAAACCCAGCACTTGAAATGTTTAAGTTAGTTAGAAATTTTAAAACAAAGAAAGAATAAAGGGGCTGGAGCCATGCCTAAGTGATTAAGAGTAGATACTGTTCTTGCAGAGAACTGAGTTCAAGTCCTAGTACCAATATCCAACAGCTCACAATCACCTAAACTCCGAGTCCAGGAGGTCCAACACTCTCCTAGACTACACATGCCCAGCCTCACATGTGCACAGATGCACCGACATGGGTGGGAGTGTGACAGTCTTCTGAGTTGGTACTGTTCAATTCCTGACTTGGCCAACTCCACACAAGTTCGCTGTTACAGAGTAACTCTCAGCTTCAGGGCCTATTTCTCCCTTCTGTGTACACTTCTCTTTTCCAAGTCAAACTCTGACAAGTGGAAGGGCTTCAGGGAAAGTGCAAAGCTGGAGGAATAAGGGGATGCTCACTCTTTTCTTGCCTCTTGTTGGCTTGCACTTTCTTTGAACCTTACCTAAATGTTCTGGACCCCAACAGAAGAGTTCCAACCTGTCGAAGCTCAGAAAGCAGGTGTAATTTTCCCAACACTTAACAATGCAGCTCCTGCTTCCAGCAGTTGCTACTTCCATAACACTTTTGGGCCCCCAATATCATCATCCTTTCAGCTAATCAATTAAGACGACGATGACTTTATTCTTGATTAATGATTGTTTTAGACAGTGATAAGTTTTGAGGTTTCTGGTGTTAAAAAATCAGACAAGGACCTTTTATATGTTAAACAAAGTACTTTACCACTGAACTATGTGCAGTCTTGGTTATTAAATCTTTATGTTAGGTTCTCTCTGTTCAAATAATTTCAATCTTGATGCTCATTAGAGTTTAAAAAGTTGAGAATAAGGGATGAAGAAATGGAAAAGAGGTTTTTAGAGACAATACTGTAAAACTGTTAGTCTTTGCTTTCAAATTCCTCATTTAACAGTGTCACACTACCTTGTCACTTTGTTCCACTGAGACGATATCTAGCAGCAGCAGGGATACTGCCTGAAGAAACAAGACATAGTGGCTGTGCTCCCACACCATCATAAAAGTGTACGTGGAGGTACTCAGCACCAAGTAGCAAAGCCTCTAGAGAAACAAAACAACTAAGATCAGTCATGTCACGACTCTAAGAACCCATTAAGCAAGCTGGGCAGTGGTGGCGCACGCCTTCAATCCCAGCACTTGGGAGGCAGAGGCAGGCGGATTTCTGAGTTCGAGGCCAGCCTGGTCTACAGAGTGAGTTCCAGGACAGCCAGGGCTACACAGAGAAACCCTGTCTCGAAAAACCTAAAAAAAAAAAAAAAAAAAAAAAAAAAGAAAAGAACCCAATAAGCTATAGACCAGCCAGCTGTGGTGGTGCATGTCCTAATCCCAGCTCTTGGGAAGTAGAGGCAGGTAGACAGCTACGAGTTCAAGGACTGCTTAGTCTCTATAACAAGTTCTAGGATGCAGATGGAGCTATGTAGAGTCCTTGTTTCAAAAGAAATAAAACAATAAAACAAAACAAACCAGTCATACGAACAAACAAATAAAAGCACAGCAGGATCTTAACAAAGGACAGAGAGGAACCAGCGCCTGTCTTTCCCATATTGTATTTCAAAGGGGAGAGACAAAAGGAGCACAATTTTTTTCTTCATGTCAAGAGAGGAAGCAAAAGCTAAAAGAAATTGGTTTTTGTTAGAGTAGCCGGTAATTTGGAAGTTACTTTTGTTAATTATGGAAGCTCCTTTTGTCCTAAAAGAGTATCTTTTTATTCGTTCATGCTAATTTTATTTTCTGAAAAACTATCAAGAGTCTGAGGTGCCTAGCCAAGGTTTTACTCTTAACAAAGTTTGGCCTGTTTTCCTCCAATGCGACACATATCAACCGTGCAAAACTGGATGCTACTTTTCTTTTCTTAATAATGAAAAAGAGCCTTGCCTGGGGTTGCATTTCCCTAATCTCAGGTCTTAGAACTAGAGCAAGAGGATCCAAGGCCAGCCTGGGCTGTGTCTTTGAATACACCCCATTCCCTGCTCCTTCTATGGGGACAAGCACCCTGAACACAGCAAACTTACTTGCTGAACTGTTATACCTTCATGTAGAACATGACAGATTTCAGGCCTGTAATAGCTAATTGCAATAGCTCAGTGCTTTCTTCTGCTGCTAGGGATCAAACCCAAGGTCTCAGACTTACTGGGCAAGAGTTCATCCATAGAACTGCATCCCTGGCACCTTTGTCAGTTCTTAGTGGAGAAAGATGAACTGCCAAAGCTGCTGCTATCATGTTTATTTTGAACTAAAACAAACTGTTGCCTAAAAATAGTAATAACTTTTTAAGTAAAATTTGTTTAATTTTTTTTATTATTGTGTATAACTTGGGGGAAGACCACATGTATGAAGGCCAAGAGACAACTCTGTGATATCTGTTCTCTCCTTGTACCTGTTATGAGGGTCGAGGGGATCACACTAAGGCTGTGAGGCTTGTAGAGTCTCTGAGCAGAGTCAGGCTACACAGGCAGGCTGGTTTAGTATTTGCGGCCTACAGTGTGGTCTTGAACCTGTGGAGATCTTGCTGCTTCAGTTGTCAGTGTACTGGTACTACAAGTGTGCACCTTCATGTCCATATGTTCTTTTACTTTCAGGGAGTATTTTACATTCTTTTTGGCAGGGCTGGCTTTGAAGTCATCATATAGCTAAGACTATACCAGAACTCCTGCTTCCCACCTCCCAAGTACCAGGATGAGAGGGACGGACTATAGTTCCTAGCTTGAGTCTTGCTTTATCCCACTTATACCTTATTGTTACTTTTAAATGCTTTTTTCACTGCAATGTTTCATGCTATGCTATATTTATTATTTCTAAGTTTTTTGTTTGTTTTTTGAGACAAGGTCTCTTTATTATGTAGCACTGGCTGCCCTGGAACTCACCGTGTAGACCAGACTGGCCTCAAAATCACAGAGCTCCTCCTGTCTCTGCCTCCTGACCACTGAGATTAAAGACATACACCACCATACCTGGCTTATTATTTTATGTCTTCAAATTGAAATATATACATATTACATGTAATATATACATAATATACTATATTATACACAGTCAAAAATAATCCTATCATTGTAAATGGGTTTACAGTAAAAAGAATACTACCTTTCAGTTTCCTATTATATTTGCTTAGTAATGTAAAATACACGTAAGGACTTAAAATAGAGGAAGGAATCTAATTAATTCCTCCCATTGGTGTGTTTGGTTATGGTGCTGGGGTAGAAGCTCCAGCCCTTGTACATGTCAGCTACCACAGAGGTATACCCCAGCCCTGTGCTGTTTTCCAAACAGCCAAGCTTATTAGAAGACTTTGTTTGGTCAATTCTGGTCTCTTCCTAGCCAGGAAAGTTTTATCTAGACAGCCAGACTGCCAAAGGACTGTTATGTTTCAGTCAACTTCAATATAATGAACTGCCTCTGTAGGCATACATTTTATTAACATTATTCTGTGACACAGTCTATAGGCTTCATTCAACTGCCCATGGGATTGAGGTAATAACAATAACAAAAACTTAAGAATCTACATGATCTGAGACGGACGTTTCCTTAAGCTTTGACTAACCTACTAATCTCAGTCAGGGAAGACATGTGAGTGAACACAAGAATATGCCACACTGCCATCAAAGTTTACACCACTGCCATCCTCAGCCACGGCTGTGTCTTCAAGAATATTTCTTTTAAGTTCTGATGACTAAAGGACATAAATGTTCCTGAAGTAAGAGAAATGGCAAAAAACAATACTTGGATAGATTAACTTCCAAAAAGAAATATTCTTCATATAACCATACTAAAAACAATGTAACATGTGTTTTTCTAAAACTATTTGGCTGTCATCAGATTAGAGAAAAACCTTACTACATGTTACATAGTAACATGTTTCACTGAATACAACTTAGCTCCTACGATGACTTACTTTAAAATTAGGCACCACAGCCCACCATGGTGGTGCACAACTGTAACCCTACACGGTGGCAGGTAAAGGAAGTGCTCAAGGCCTAGCCTTAGTTACATAAGGAGTTCGAAGCCAGCCTGAACTAAAGACATTTTTGTGTCAAAACAAAACAACCAAAACATATTTGCAAAGCATCAGAACTAACTGTGATGTATAAAACAGATTTGTATCTTACCTCTGCATAAGTATTTAAATTTCTTTTTAAATAGCCTGTAAGCGCAGCAACTTGGCATGCAAAATATGGTAGAGCCCAGTTTTCTCTTAAAGGAATGGAGTACTCAATTCTTGTTGTGTCCACCCTAAAATAAACCACATAGGACACTGAAAGTGAGGCATACACTTGTGTAACACCACACTATACTTCTCTCTTTATCTCATTTTTAAATTATTATTTTATTTTATGCATATGGCTGTTTTGCCTGCATGAATGCCTGTAGACATATGTGAGCCTGGTGCTCCTGGATGCCAGAAAGAAGGCATCAGATTCCTGGAACTGGAGCTACAGACAGTTGTGAGCTGTCATGTGGGTATTGGGAATTAAACCCAGGTCCTCTGGAAGAACATCGAGTGCTCTTAACTGCTGAGCCACCATGGTTCACAGCAGTAATCCCAGTACTTGGAAGGTAAAGGCAGGAAGATCACTACAAGCTCAGAGCTAGCTTGATCTACACATGAAGCCCCATACCAGCCAAAGAACAACAAGGCTCTGTCTCAAAATGTTAAACATAGTAAAATAAAAGTGACAGAAATAGTGACAAATATCAGAATAACTAGTTCCATGCATATAAGACTGTAATCAGCCTTTAGTTACCTATTACAAAAGAGTATAAAATAGTCAAAATTCAGGAAGGATGAATCAGAGACTCAGTGGACAAAGGTGTTTCCAACAAACAATTCCTGAGACCCATGTGGTAGAAGGGGAAAACCAGTCCTGAAAGTTCACCTCTGATTCCCACACATATACTTCTTAACTAAACAACTGATACAATGTAAACAAAAATAGTAAGTTCATTGAAAAAAATCCTGTATTTTGTTTTTACTTATTTTTTTCAAAACTGCCAAGAAAAAAAAAATATGTCTTAGTGGGTTTCTGTTCCTATAACAGAATACCATGGACTTTGCAATTTATAAACAAAAGAATGTATTGCTCCTAGTTCTAGAAGCTGGGAATCCAAGATCAAGGAAGGCAACAGGGACTCAGTGTCTAGCAAGGACCCATTCCTCACAGTTGGGACCTTACAGCTCTTTCCTTACTACAGTAGAACAAGGTAGCTTGATTCAACCAAAAATGTTTTTCTCTAGTGCTGGAGTATGAAACCAGGCCTTGTGCATACCAGCCAAGCCCTCTACCATGCTGTTATGTCCCAGTGCCCTTCAACTGTTTTTATAGGGGCAGTGATTCCAGTCATAAAGACTGAGTGATGGGCCATGAATGAGGAAGAGTCTTTATGACTGGAAATCAAGTAACTTGGAGAGGCACATTCAAAGCACAGCTGCACAATGGCAATTCTAACGATTCTGGGCTTGGCAAAGAGTTCTTCATTATGACACAAAAGTACAAAAAATAAAATAAAACGGTACAACCCAATTCACTAGACTTGATCAAAATTTAAAACTTTCTGTTTTCATTATTAAGAAAGTATGTGGCCAGGCATGCTGACTCATGTGTTTAACTCCAGCACTTAGGAGGTGGATCTGGCAGGTGCATCTCCCTGAATCTGAGGACAGCCTGGACCACAGAGAACGTTCTGAACACTCAGGGCTACATAGTGAGAGACTGCCACAAAAAATAAAAACAAAAGAGGGGGCAGGGGAGAGAGAGAGAAAGAAGAAAAGAAAAACATAAAGCACACAGACAAAAAACTCTGAAATACATGCCCCTGACAATGACAAAACACAAGAAAAGCCATCTGCATGGTATTCCTACCACCGAGGAAGAACTAGTATTTACAATATATGTCACCATTTATTATTTAAGGACACAAAAACCTTCTCAGAAATGCATGGTTAGTTACTTTACTAGGCAAACATCATAGCCTGCACAGTAGAACTACCGCCATATACACTCTCCATCACTGATTACAATGTTGTTATGCCAGCATAACTGTAAAAACTCTTAGAACTCAATAATCAGAAGGTAAACAATGCCATAATAAAAACAAGAACTGGCATGGTGGCACAAAGCACAAGAAGCCAAGACAGGAAGACCACAAGTCCACTCCTCCCTGGGCTTCAGTGGGGGATAGGAATGGTTACAGAGCATACCACAGGTCCAACCTCAGTACTATAAAACAGAAGGTGTGAACAGGCTCTTGACACAAAACTTTCCATTAAAAAACAAAATAAAGAGACCTTGTAGAGAGACTCTCTTGTGTATTGTGTGGAAGCATCACCTGTCGATAAAAAGCTAATGTTCTAAGCAAAAGGCAGGAAATAGAAGGTAGGAATTCCAGTAGAGCCGGGCGGTGGTGGCGGACACCTTTAGTCCCAGCACTTGGGAGGCAGAGGCAAGCGGATTTCTGAGTTCGAGGCCAGCCTGGTCTACAGAGTGAGTTCCAGGACAGCCAGGACTATACAGAGAAACCCAGTCTTGAAAAAAACCAAAACAAAAAACAAAAAAAACAAAAAAACAAACAAAAAAAGAGTTCCAGTAGAGAGATAGGAACTCTGGGAGATTCTCACACAGAAGATTCACCCTGGACTCTGAGGAAGTCGGATGCATGAAACTGAGGAGAGGTAACTAACCATGTGGTAGATATGGAATAGTTCAAACGGATTAAGTGAGTTATTATCTAGTCAGGGAACAAGCATAGCATAAGGCCATAAGCACTGTAAATAAAAATAAGCCTCTGAGTTGTTCTTGGGGAACTGGGGCACAGGTGGGAAGGCCCGTGGTTATAAGATTTTACCAACTAGCACATGCACATCACTGATCATTAAGTACACACAATTTAAAACTATGCTCTCTGCAACCTGACTGCCATGATGGAGCCACACAACTCTTACCTGTTAAAATTCTTCCTTGCCTCAGAACCAAAGCAATAGTGAAAGAGGAATTTTAAGTTAGTTTAAAATCAATAGTATAACAGGAAGCCTTAATTCACTAATACAAATAGTTAAGAATTGCAGGTCAGCTAGCTTGCTAACGAAAGGCCGTTACAGGGGATGCAGAGCTAGAGAAACAAAGGTCAATTGAGTGTTCCAAGAATCTGTCCCTGTGGTGTCTGACTTAGCCTCCTCTGGGGAAATTCCCACCAGAGGTCCCAAGGACTTTAGAATTAAATTCAGCCAGATGGTCTGTTGGCTCAGATAAGCATTCACACTGGGTCGCAAGGCCACAGGGATCAGAGACTATTCTCGTGAGACTTGTCAAACCTCTGCCTGGGATCTGCTTACACACATTACAGACATTTGAAACAATCAATTGTGTGTGATTATCCACAACCCTCTCCCTTCCTCCCAGCCTTTGCCTATAATAACCCTAAGCTTTTGGGCCTCGAGGTCAATAACCCCTATCTCCTGCATGAGGCACGTATCGACTCGAAACTTCGTATATTAAAGGACCTGACTCATGTAATTACAGCAAGATGGTTTTTGGAGTGTTTTTGGGTCCGTGTCCTTCCTGGGTCCCCTTGGTGGAGTCTTTCAATAGGCTCAGCAAATCTTGGCCCAAAATCTCCAAGACCATATTCAAATAAGAAATCCAAGGAAAAAGCAGCAGCTTGCCAATCAGTGAGAGAAGCCATTGAGAGGTCAGTCTGCACTCATCCTTAAATGTAGTCACCTTGCATTCAAGAACAGTGGAGCCCCACACTCAGACAAACACTGGTAAGACAGCCTGAGGAGCAGAATACATTATTCCCTGGTAGAAACTGAACTGTTTCCAAGCTCCCCTAAGCAGAAGCAAACATCATACAATGTGAACAGCACGGTCCCCTCATACAAGAAGTCACTGGAAACGTCTCCTAAAGGAGCCCCTTCACAGACCCAAAACTGTCAGTCAGGACTGCTGAACTATGAATTCCTCTCACCACTTTCCCTTCACCAAAACTCACAGCTCAAGCCAAATCCAAGAATCATGGTGTGCGGTGCCTGCTGTTTGGTCTCCTTTGACATTCTAGTACAACCATGCTAAAAACTAAATTCCTTTCCTGCCTCTCATGGGGAAATATTAATAAACTATCATGAGATACCACTGAACACTGTATTATCTACTATGCAACAAGGCTATCAGCACCACACACACACACACAAAAAAAAACCCACACACACAGAGTGACTTAAGATCGGGGCCAATCATATGGCTTAGTGGTATACCACCTGCAGGCATAGGCCCTGGTTTCAATACTTGGCATTACCCAAAAAAACTAAAAGGAAACAAAGCTAGGGAAAACTCCTTTGCTTAAAACAGCTTATGTTATGACTTCCAGATAAGATCGGAGCTGCAAACTGCCTCAAATGTGAGCTGGAAAACAGAAAGCCAGAAAAGTCTTCAAAGGAAGTAGGATACCTGAAGAGAGCAGAGAAAAGGGCAGGCGACTCAGAAAAATAAACAGAATAGAGCTTTAGCAGCGCAGCTCCTGTGAGAGAAGAGCCAGCAGCTGCTTCCAGAAGCAATTTGTTTTCTCCTTGCTGAGTAGTACTGAGGATGGAGCCTTCAAGAATAAACTGATCAGGGGGCTGGGGAAATGGCTGAGGTAAAAAGTGCTGGCTGCTCTTGGAAAGAACCCACATTCAATTCCCAGCACCCACATAGTGGTTCAGAGCTGTCTGTAACTCCAGTCCAGAGGATGTGATGCCCTCTTCTGGCCTCTGTGAGTGCCGGCAATACACATAATGCACTGGCAGGTAACACCTATCTATATGCATAAAATAAAAATAAACAAATCTTTATTTTTAAAAAGCTGATCAATAAAATAAGATACCCTCCCTACAAGTAACTCAGAAGAGATATCAAAACCAGTAGATCCCAAAGTGCAAAACACAAATGTAAGACCATAAAAACTCAACCAGGGGTATAGCTTAGTCAGTACAGTGCTTCCCCAGCATGCACAGGACCCAGTTCAGTGTCTGGCATTAACTGAGTGCTCATCTGTAGAGCCAGCACTGGGTGCACTCAGTGCATTTCAGACCACACTGCGCTACACAGTAAATCTGAGACCAGCTTGGTCAACATAGCAAGACTCTTGTCTCAAAAACAAAAGCAACCAGAGAATAGTCTCAACAGAGTCCCTGCCTTGCTGTAAAAAGCTATACCATGTTCCTTGGCCATATAAAAGAAAAAAAAGTTTTCCAGGCTTCTTCTTTGAACGTGATGATAAGTATTTAATGATCAAATGAAAAGAGTACTAATTTGACAAACGTAGTGGTCTACATAATGGTCTTAATGAATGGTTTGTGACTTCTGGGGTGTGTGTGTGTGTGTGTGTGTGTGTGTGTGTGTGTATTGGAGTGATACCATGTCTCCAGGATTAGGTTATAAAAGACATCTACCAATGTCTCTTGGATCATTTAATATAAAATAACACCTTATGTTATATCTGACCCAGATCTACCAGGTAAGCCTCTTTGGAGTTCTATTCCTAGCAACTGTGTCAAATAATGTTCTTTTTTATTAGAAGCTATTGTCTTATGCAGCAGTAAGCAAACACAATTGCTTCTTAAAGCCAGTCTTGTGCTGCAGCCCAGGCTAAACCTGAACTCCTTATTTTCCTACCCTTAACTCCTGAGTGTTGCATCCTGAGTGTCATCATTCCTGGCCTAGAACTTACTTTGATTTTTTTTTTTTTAAGTTTTTATTTTGTTTTGAGCCAGGGTTTCTCTGTATAGCCCTGACTGTCCTGGAACTTGTAGACCAAGGAGGCTTCAAACTCACAGAGATCCACTGCAGATGCCTCCTGAATGCTAGAATTAAAGGTGTGCACCATTATGGCAGGGCAGGATTAAGTTTTTTGAGTCAAGACTTTGTTAAACAGACCAGGAGTGCCTAAAACTTAGAAGGCACATGCCATGGTGTACCAGTGTAAGTCACAGAACAATTTATAGGAAACCACTCTCTTGGACTGCCATATGGGTCCCAGTAATCAGACTCAGGTTACCAGGCTTAGCAGCAAGCAGTCTTTTCAATAGCTCATGCTCGAAGAATAAGTTCATTTTCTTTTTGCTTCAAGTCAGTGTGGCCCCATAAATCCTACTCATCTCTGAATCTTATACTAGCTGGAGAAGGCTTTCTGCTTTGTTTTACCCTCACGCGTATGTGCATACACCTGTGTGTGTATGCTGCCATATGTGTAGGAGCATGTGACCACGTGTAAAGAGGCCTGAGGCTGACTTCATTACTCTTCCTTGGTTGTGCTTCATCTTACTCACTGAGGTAGGGCCTTCGGATCAGTAGAGAACTTACAAATATGACAAGTCCGGCTAACCAGTGTGCCCCAGGGAAACTTCTAAGAGCTGGAATCACAGGAGGCCCACATCCACCCAGCTTTACAAGGATTCTGGGAGTCTAAACTCCAGTCACATACTTGTACAGCAAGTGCTTAAACCACTGAACCACCATCCCAGATTGGCTTTGTAAGTGATCCTGTATCTAGATTAGACCCTGAGAGGAATCCTACCTAAGCTGCACCACGTAGCATAACAATCAATAGGTTTGAAGATTATAGTTGAGCACTGTAAGAATGGGAATATTTTTTTGGAACTCTATGACTACCACAGCTACCAAAACAAAATTTGTAAATATCAATTTAAAAACCTTGCATACCTGTTTATTAGGAACCATGCAACAGTAAGCATTCCTGCTAGCCATGTGCCACTCATAAGCCAACTTGTAACAAATAAAGCCGTAACATATATTCCTTGTAATCCAAACACAATGCCAATGTAGAAATATACTGGTTCAATCACTTCCTAAAGGTAAAAAGAGAGGGAATGACAGAGGATGATGTTAAACAACCCAAGGATTCAAAACCATGTAAGAAAACAGGCATTAAAGGGGAAAAACAGGGCTGGAGGGATGGCTCAGTGGTTAAGAGGACCTCAATTCCATCCCAGAGCCCACATGGTGACTCGTAACTATCTATAACTTCCAGAGCAGTGGCTCTCAACCTTCCTAGTACTGTGACCCTGTAATACAGTTCCTCTTGTTGTGGTGACCCCAACCATAAACTTACTTCATTGCTATTTCATAACTGTAATTTTGCTAGTTTTGAATTATAATATAAATATCTGATATACAGGATATCTGATATGTGACCCCAAAAGGGGCCAAGACACAGATTGAGAACCACTGTCCTAGAGGATACGATGGATGCCCTCTGACCTCTGAGGGCACTAGGCACACACGTGGTACACATATAGATATGCAAGCAAAACACTCATACATATGAAGTAAATCTAAAATAAAAATAATAAAGTAAAAAGAAATACATACATTGCTACCAGTTGCTTGATAGAGCACACTGGCGATAAGCTCTGGGTACAGCGACATCTGTTGCATGGCGTTGATAGTCTTCATGGAGACGGTTTTGTTATTGTGCGTCAGCTCATAAACACCTAAACACATAACAATTTTTCTCCAGATTACTGTTCTGCTTTGACAGTGATTCAACATGTCATTCATTAGTAATCACAAATACTATAGAAAGAAAGACACTCAAATGCTACAGTAGATGCCACATCTTCCCAACTTTTTTATTACATACATAAAGAGAAATTCTGAGACAATTCCCACATTCTAAAGCTTGTAATCTTCTTTTTTTTTTTTTTTTTTTTCCGAGACAAGGTTTCTCTGTGTAGCCCTGGCTGTCCTGGAACTCACTCTGTAGACCAGGCTGGCCTCGAACTCAGAAATCCACCTGCCTCTGCCTCCCAAGTGCTGGGATTAAAGGCGTGCGCCACCACTGCCTGGCTAGAGCTCATAATCTTTAAGAACAGTATTTTATTTTAGAACAGTATTATTACTACAATTCCAAATGTGGTTGGCCATACCTCTTTCAAATGACGGAGCCTTCAACATGTCTTTATAATAGGAGTAGTAAATGGCACTGTCACCCTGAAATGTGATCTCTCGCTCAAGTTCCTGCAATGAATAAGTACCACATGTCAGTGCTGAGCATCAGCTGTACACTTCCTTCTCCTTCATCTTCCTGTGTTTGGGTTTGTTTGCTTCCTTTACATTCTAAACTGACACTTACTGTTTTATTCGAGGACACATTTAAAATGTCCTACATTACCATATTAATAAGATTAAATTTCTCCATAGTATAGCAAACGTTTTAGTGAAAACACTTAAGGTTTCAAATGGCTTATAACTGATATAGCATTATACGTTTTACATATAAGGAAATTCTAGAAGGAAAACCCAAAGGATACTCTACAAACAGCAGGAATAGTAAGAAGACACTGACAATAAACTGAATGTCAGAATTTAAAGTAAAAGCCAGGCATGGGGATATGTGCCCACAATCCTAGCACAAAGGAAGTTGAGGGAGGAGGATCAAGTTTGAGACCAGCTTGGGCTATATAGTAAGTTCCAGACCAGCCTGAACTACTCAGTGTGACTCTATTTAAAAAATAAATAAATAAAGGACTTTAAAAACAAAATGTCCAGAATAAGAAGATAAGTTAATGCAGGTAGCAGTGCATTCTACGATTACATATAACCTTACATATTGAGAAGAGGAAGGCTTTAATAAGTACATTTGCAGAGCCGTACATTCTCAGTGTTTTTCAAATAACCAAGATTTACAAGTCTTGGGGGCTGGACATGTGGCTCAATAGTGGAGTGTTTGGTTCAATTCCCAAATTGGAAAGAAAAAAAATCCCAAGATTCAACTATACAGATCAAAACTACAGTAATTAAAAACATAGGGTAAAAGGCACGTGTGGTGGTCTCACTCCTTTCATTCCAGCACTCCAGAGGCTGAGGCAAGCAGGTCTCTGTGAGTCTGAGGTGAGCTTAGTCTACTAGCAAGTTTCAGTCCAACTAGAAAACACACAGTGAGAACCCCATCTCAAACAAACAAACAAAATCATCAGAATGTTTGGTATTTGTTTATGTTAAATCAATTTTTTGTTCAGCCCTAATCTTATTTCCCCATGTGCTAAGAGTCCAACCCTAGGTCCTGTGTTTGGGTCAAGAGCTCTAACCCTACACTGTAACCCAGACCTGAGCAGACCATCTGTTAACATCACGCTATTTTCAGACACAATACAGACTAAGGATTCCTACTTCAAAATCTGAGATCTTAAACACTCCAAAAGCTGAACCTTTGTGTATGTGGACGTGACGGTGTAAGTGAAAAATGTTCCACCCAAGGAAGAACAATAAAAACACTAGCAAAACAGAAATGCCAAAATAGCTTCAGACTACATACAGAAAGCTGTGACATAAGAATCGTATGCCTAAGTGTGGAACCCCTTCCCAATATATCAGATTGTGTATATATAAGTACTGCAAAATAAAAAAAAAAATTTTTTTTAAATATCTAAATCACTACTATTCTGGTCCTTGGCACTGTGGATAAGGGATACCCAACCTGTACTCAAGAACAATGCTAGAACCATTTTTTAAAAAAGATTCATTATGTTTAATTGTGTGTGTGTGTGCGTGTATACTCAAATGCATGTGCACACTCATGTACCTGTACATTCACATTCAGGTGTCTATGGAAGTCAGAGTCACAGGATCCCCCTAGTCAGATCACAGGTTGTTCTGAGCTGCCTGACATGGGTACAAGGAACTGAACTTGACTTCTTTGTAAGAGCAGTATGCACTCTTGCCCACTGAGCCCCTAGGAGCAATTTTTCAAAGTTCTAACTTGTTATGATTTTACTGACTGCTAATTTAAGAGCCTTGGGATCCATAAGACGCTCAGTGGGTAAGAACATTTGCCACCAAGCCTGACAACCCAAGTTTGATCCCCAGAAGCTATATGTTGGAAGGATAAAGTTGTCCTCTGATCTCCCTGAGCGCACACAAGATAAAGAAAGAAAGAAAGAAAGAAAGAAAGGAAGGAAGGAAGGAAGGAAGGAAGGAAGGAAGGAAGAAAAATAAAACATTTTAACTGTTTGGAGTACACTTAAGTGTACACACTAAGTATCTGTAATCCTAGCACTTAAAAAGTCAAACAGGAGGACAGAGAGGCCAAGGCCAGCATGGCCTACAAACAAGATCTTTAATTAAATATAAGAAATACAAATACTCGCCCCAGGGGGTGGGAATTTTGAGGGTGGGGAAGTGGGGGGGGGTAGGTAGGGGTTACATCCACGGAGAAGAAGGAGGAGGGGTAAGGGGATGGGGGGTTCCCGGGTGGGTGGGGGATGGGGTAAGGGGACAACATGAATTGTAAATAAAACATCCAATAAAAAAATAAATAAATAAAAAAAATAAAAGAAATACAAATACTTCTGTACTTGCATAGTTGTTACATTTTGAAAAGGGCTAGATTAAACGATTCTATGAGTTTCTTTATTTTATTTATTTATTTATTTATTTTTATTTATTTATTTATTTATTTTGGTTTTTTCGAGACAGGGTTTCTCTGTATAGTCCTGGCTGTCCTGGAACTCACTCTGTAGACCAGGCTGGCCTCGAACTCAGAAATCTGCCTGCCTCTGCCTCCCAAGTGCTAGGATTAAAGGCGTGCACCACCACACCCGGCGAGTTTCTTTATTTTAAAATATTTCCATTTCCATATATGTTTTTCACTGTTAGTCTCAAGAGGAAATGTTTTTCAGGTCTATTTACTCAATGAACTGCTCTCCCATTTACAAACTGCTCTGGTCTGAATGCTAGTGTTCCTAGATACAAACCATTGTATGTGGAAATTCAATCCCTAGTGTGATGGTATTTGAAAAAGGGATTTGGAATGTGGGTGTGTCATGAGGACAAATCCTTCATGACAGGATTAGTGCATTTAGGAAATAGGCCCCAGAGTTCCCTCGTCCCTTCTGCCACAGTAAGATGGCCAGTCACCTACAGATCGAGAAGCCAATCTGGGACGAGCTGTAGTGGCACACACCTTTAAACTCAGCATTCTGGAGGCAGAGGATCTGTGCGTTAGTTCCTGGACAACCTGGCCTAATAGTCAATTCTAAGCCAACTAGTG